AGGTACATGTTGTGAATTATCCTTCGGAGGGCACCAGCCTGCAGAGAATCCAGGGTCTTCCGCTCCGCCCTGCTCCGTGGCACCGTTCCTGGTGCCTTAACCTGGCCGTTTTGATATTCCCTTCGAATATTTTTGACAGTGCCCTCTGACACACCAGTTGCATCGCATGTCTTTTTTAAAACATTGACTGTTCTTACATCACCCCGTCGGTCAGCATCGTCCCTCTCTCGACAGAAAAATGCGTGAACATTCAATATAATCAGTCGGGCCTGGGCTACCAGCCCTCTACCCCTTTTAAAATCCATCGTTATCCCCGACACAAGTGCACACAAATCCCTCTTGGTATCGAAACTAATATTTCTTTATCAAGCCAAGCCTTGACCCGTAGTGCGTTTTTACGGAACTATTTACAGTTTAGAGAAAATCGTGGCCTAATCACGTGCTATGTTCAAAAAGGCCTTTACAGTCGAGGGCAAACTTAAAAAAAACGGATTATAGTCTGAATCGCTCTATGTTCACCGTCTGAGCCTATCAGCTATATTTAGGTGCGACCTTTTCATATAGAAATGTTCCTTTGAAGCTGTATTCTGCCTTCCATGCTGAGCCCGACCTGGTTGTTAGCGTTCCATCGCGCCATCCAGGGTCGTTTCACTGCAGCTGCGCCACAGCTCAGGCCTGTCTCAGCTGGCTACATTGAATACAGTTGCACAACGACATTGTTAGATCGGTGCAGCTCACCACAAAGGAAGATAGGGAAGACATGGAGTAACCACAGACTAACCAAGGGGTAACCCCGATCCTAGCAACTATAGTGCTACTTCGGGTTTACCACGGGGTACCCAGCTGTGTGGGTGACCGTTTGCACAGTTCGCTGCCCGTTGCCGGCCACCCGCCGTCCGCAGTCTGCCGGGCGTCGGCGGCCCTCCGTCCGCAGTCTACTGAGCACCGGCCGGTCTGCCTCTGTGAGATACCGGCGCCGGCAGTGGCTGACGAAGCGGCCGTGGCAGAGGGGTGCAGTCTGACCTTTGGGCACCAATTATATGACCGTGTTCTGTAACTCGGACTGCAGTCATTACTCGCAGTATACGCGACTGTCAGCACGCCCGCCCGAACAATTGTGCAAATTGATCAGTGCGCAATATCTGTCAAACTGACCAGAATAATGCGTTGCGTTTCGTAAATTTGTGTTGCAACGTCTACGGCAGGCATGGGAAGTTTTCTTACGCCGTGCACCATTCACTAATAGATCATTAGTGAGAAACGTTTGATCGGTCGACCAATCTACTTGGAAAACTTCAGACGTTGGTCGTTCCACGAAGTTTTCTATTGGCTATCGAACAGTCTGATGAGAGCACAGCGATCCACGACTGCCTGTGACGTGCAGCCCTCCCGTAAGGTTTCCATCCGGCAATCGAGCGACAGTGTGTCGTTCGCTGTGTCGATGGTGCTTCGCTCGCTATGTTGATAGCCAATGTCGATGGTGCTTCATCGTTATTGACGGAATTTAATTTATTTGTGAATCGACTCTGCGGAGAAGGCCCATAATTATAATTCGAACGGCTCTAACTTTTGCTTGCAAAGGGTTGACTGGCATGTTAACTTTCAGGACATGTTTACTGAGAGCTACATTTGCTCCATCTTAGAAGTTGGTTCGCTAAGCTTTGGTAGCTTTGGAACAAGTTGTTGCCACAACATCATACCACGCATTGCCACCCCGGCCGCCACCGCGATCCAACTACCAAACGAGCCTCTGGGGCGTTCCACGACAAATCGACAAATAAAAAATTAAATTTGCACCCTCATATTTTATTTTTCATTGAAAACTGGTGTAAGGGGTTGTGATGGGCGGGGAAGTCAGCTGTGGCAAGGATTTTTTTCTTCGAACAACGGTTTCCGAGATATAGCCTCGGGCAATTCCAGCAGGTCGCGCTGCAGCCCTATGTTTGGCGGCCTATAACTCAGAAACTATTGGTTTTCTACGATAAAAAGTTTATATGGTTCAACTCACAATCAGCCAACAAACATTTTGGCTATCTCGGATTTTCAATTTTTGAAAAATTTTGATCACGTGACCTTTTGACCTATTTTTCGAAGAGTGACCTTGATATTTTCCCCACTGAAAGTTGCAATTTTGTCTGATGACGATTAAAGCCTTATCAATTGTCATTCATATGCGAAAATAAAAAAGTGGATATCGCCCTGCGTTGACCTCAGGTCAGGTCATTTTTATGACCTGTCCATTATTACGAGCGGGAGCGACAGCGAGATCTCGAGAATAAAGCAAGATAGCGACAAGCGGTAAACGGTGCAGGGTACAAGTGGATAAGGTCTATAATATTTACTGAAGTCATTTTCAGGTCAGGTCAAAGATGACGTCACAGGAGCAAAAAGGAAGTCAAAATTGCGGCACTGCATATATATGAAGTTTTTCTAGAATAACGTTCAAGGTATCCCAGCTAGGAGCAAACTAATAGCACCATCGTGATCCTCTCGTCGATCCGCATCGAAATATATGTATGTTGACCTCGAAAGGTCGAAAGGTCAAAAGCTGACCTTAGGTTACGTGACGAGCGGGAGCGACAACGAGATCTCGAGAATAAAGCAAGATAGCGACAAACGGTAAACGGTGCAGGGTACACACGGATAAGGTCTATAATTTTTATTCAGGTCATTTTCAGGTCAGGTCAAAGATGACGTCACAGGAGCAAAAAGGAAGTCAAAATTGCGGCACTACATATATGAAGTTTTTCTCGAATAACTTTCAAGGTATCCCAGCTAGGAACAAACTAATAGCACCGTCGTGATCCTCTCGTCGATCCGCATCGAAACATATGTATGTTGACCTCGAAAGGTCGAAAGGTCAAAAGTTGACCCTAGGTCACGTGACAAGGTCAACTTTTGACCTTTCGACCTTTCGAGGTCAACATACATATGTTTCGATGCGAATCGACGAGAGGATCACGATGGTGATATTAGTTTGTTCCTAGCTGAGATACCTTGAAAGTTATTCGAGAAACACTTCATATATATGTAGTGCCGCAATTTTGACTTCCTTTTTGCTCCTGTGACGTCATCTTTGACCTGACCTGAAAATGACCTCAGTAAAAATTATAGACCTTATCCATTTGTACCCTGCACCGTTTACCGCTTGTCGCTATCTTGCTTTATTCTCGAGATCTCGCTGTCGCTCCCGCTCGTAATAATGGACAGGTCATAAAAATGACCTGACCTGAGGTCAACGCAGGGCGATATCCACTTTTTTATTTTCGCATATGAATGACAATTGATAAGGCTTTAATCGTCATCAGACACAATTGCAACTTTCAGTGGGGAAAATATCAAGGTCACTCTTCGAAAAAGAGGTCAAAAGGTGACGTGATCAAAATTTTCAAAAATTGAGAATCCGAAATAGCCAAAGTGTTTGTTGGTTGATTGTGAGTTGAACCATATAAAGTTTTTATCGTAGAAAAACAATAGTTTTTGAGTTATAGGCCGCCAAACATAGGGCTGCAGCGCGACATCCAGGAATTGCCCGAGGCTATATCTCGGAAACCGTTGTTCAAAGAAAAAAATCCTTGCCACAGCTGGCTTCCCCACCCATCACAACCCATTAGACCAATTTTAAGCAAAAAATAAAATATGAGGGTGCAGGGCACTTGTCGATTTGTCGTGGGACGGCGGCAATGCACGGGTCATCTGTTGACCTTGTGGTGGTGCTGGTGCCATGCCGTTTATGCCGTGTCTCGGCGGCACAGGCCGGTGGTCCCCAGCGACTCTATCTATCTCAGTCGTCTGTCCCTGCCGACTCCGTCACAGCCGTCGGCCGTCGGTCGATCCCCAGAGGTCGCCGGCAGATGACCTCTGGGGCGCCCGGGGCGCCGCGCTGCCCGCCCGCCGCGGCGTGTGCCATAGCGCTGGAGGTCTGCGCGCCGGAGCCACAGTGACGAATGGAATACAAATGACAGGCTGCTGCGCCGGTTACTTAGCAGCCGGATCTCTGCGCGCCCAGCTATCGCTGGCAGCCGGTGTTCGTACACAGCTCGAAATGAGGGTCGCAGGGGAGCGCACTGGGGGCGGTGAAGTTCGCCGGGGTCGTTCTCATATTGCCGGCTGAATTTGTAATTTACACGCGTCCCCGCGGAGCGGCCGGGTCGTGTCGGCGACATTGGTCGGGCCGGGTTAGTTTGCTGTCCGTCCACGGGGAGCCGTTGGCCACTGATGGAGCCGGCGCGGCCCGACCAGACCAACGCCGACCAGGGCGGACCGACCACCAGCGGGCCGACCAACAGCGGGCCGACCACCAGCGGACCGACCAACAGCGGGCCGACCAACAGCGGGCCGACCAACAGCGGGCCGACCAACAGCGGACCGACCAACAGCGGGATAACCAGCAGCAGGATAACCAGCAGCGGGTCTGACCTGGTGTGACCCGGTACGACCTGGTCCCGGGCCTGCCAGCTATTTTTTCGCCTACCCCCGGCTCACACACCTGTTGAGGCATTTTCTCTAGATATTGTGGGCGCTTTATTAAGCAAATAAAAATCCTGCTTATGGAACGATTATTGATTGATTGATGAATTGAATATGCTTGTAGTACCAATATAGATACATAGACATCTGACCTATCACCTAGATTTGAAAGCTGGTCAAGCTCCTACAAGAATGCCACTTCTGGTGACGTCCACTGCCCAAAAGATTACGCACACCTTTGGTGTGTCAACTCCCATCAGCAGACTGCTGTCGCCGAGGATCAATCGCTGAGATTATCGGCGAGCGTGACTGCCATCAGTCTTGTGTCAGTAAACCGCGGCACAAATTCCGTCGCGAAATTACATTGCTGTCAACAATCTGGCGATGATACCATTTGTGATTTGTGCGTATGTTTACCTTCTCTTTTTGTCTCCTATTGCAGGTTTACCACGTCATTGGTCTCACCAGTTGTTTTTACTTATTGCATGGTTTAGATGTTCATTGAAATTGACTGGCTCATTTTTCTGCAGGTGCTGCCATGTGCACTCCGGCGCGGTATAACGTCGGTCTGGCGCCGCCCTCTGACGGCGACCTGGACGTGCTCAACTGCACGGAGCTGCCGCCAGATGTCAGGAGCGAGGAGCGCTGCCGCCACCTCAGCTTCGAGTACGAGCTGACCACGTCCGTCATCTGCGGCCTCAGCCTCGTCTTCGGCATCCTCTACACCCTGTTCGGTGAGTACCTACAACTCGGTTTTAAGCAAAACTACCTGATCTTACTATGTAGGTACACCTGAGATTCTCTGTTAGGGCGCTGGTGACCACTGTAGTCCGGGCGCCCAAAAACCCCAATTCATCATCATCATCAGATTCTCCAGAGGCGGATCCAGCTCAGAGTTTTTTTTTGGGGGGGGGGGGGCAAACCATAACAATTTATCGATTCTTTCCATGCTTCGTCCATAGGCGTAATGTTAAAATTATGCCGTTTGGGAGGGGCAAATGCCCATTTTGCCCCCCCCCCCTGGATCCGCCACTGAGATTCTCTGTCGACGGTTTTTGTTTTCCATCTTTGCTTTATGCTGCATTTTTTTGTGACGCAGCGTTACAATTTGGAAGTTTCATGGAGCGGTGGATGTGCTACACCAGCGCGACTACCAAACGATTGTTGCAGTGCGGCATAAATGCATCATATGAGAGCTCTCCTGACGATAAAATCGCCAGTCAGCGGGCTCGTGCGAATCTGGCGCTTTTAACGTTGTAAATGGGCGCGATTTATCATGGGTTAATGTAAGCACTGAAGGCTTCCTTAGTCACCGAGATGGTTCTTTTTACCGGCTGAACCGTTGAATTTCGCGAGTTCAGCTAAGGTGATGATCTGATGTGGAAAAATGAGCCTCATGATGTCCTTATCATACCGTTATTAGCGTGATAAATGGGGGCGAATCTCAACGTCCTACAGCGCTGTGCAGCAGTGACGAATATAGGAATGTAGGATAGGACTTTACATTTTGGACTTTATTTCTTCGTTTTCCCGTTTCGCTAATCAGAGTTTCTTTTGATGCTCTTGCGATTTTTTAACACCCTCTGGTAAAGGTTTACTTCGGAGAGTTATTTTTTTTTTGTCTATCGATTTTCCATAGCTTTCTTTTTAAAACAATCCATTTGTGTTTGTTTTGATCCCTTGCTTACGAAATCAATTGAGTTTAGTTAAACTAGCCATCTCATCAGTGCAAATGATCCAATAGCGATTTGTCCCGAATTACGAACCAGATTGAAATGGTCTAATGTCTCGATATGAGCGGAGGTAAATGGCGAGCTATTGCTCCGTAATCAGATCGTCGATTGGTGCAGATTGGATTTCAGTCCTCATAAACCCCGGTTCAGCGGGGCGGGCGCTCGACGGCCGTCAGTCGCCCACCACTGGCCGGTCGGGTCCGCAGCTCTCGGCAGCCCGGCGCGCGGCTCGATACCAGTAGTGCCGGAGATGGTGCCATTTCCACTGGGCTCTCCGCTCCTGTGGACAGTGTCCACACGGCCCGCCCGCCCCTCCCCCACTCCCTCAGATAGCGGGGCCACCGGCTTTATTGCAGATTGCCTTATCAAATGACCGGCGCGTCAATACCGTCAGCCGCAGGCCCAGTCAGCTGTCACGGCGCCACGGGGCGGGCGCACATGGCAAATATGACGTCATAAGTTCCACCGGGCGGCGGCGGCCGGTTATTCATCCTCCGACCGGCAGCGTTCGGCATCTGCCGGGGTCCGCGGTCCGCCCCGCGCGGCGCCGCCCCGCAGTATCATGCATACAGAGCGGCGCCCCTGTGTTGAACGTCCCCGTCACAGCGATGGATGGCTCGCCCCAAGTATCCTTCTCGCCCGCGCCTCAGCAACTCTGGGCCGCTGTCGCCCAGAGAGTATTCATTTTATGTGGAAAGTTATGCGGCCAGTAAATGTTCCGTAATGTTGAGCTGTGCTCTGGATGGCTGAAATAAATCTGAAGCGGTGGCGCGGGACTCGGCGGTGCTGCATTCTGGTAGTGAGATGTTTTAGTGTAAAAATATGTGTGCTTGTGTGTTGCAAACGAGATGCGAGTGTTCTGAGAGCTTCCCATAAAATAAAGGTGACGCGGCAGCACCTTGCTATCAAAGTTATGAGGTAACGACGCAGCAGATAGGAGGGAAGATCCCATCGCCGGAACCGTTCTGATTCATGTTCTGGCTATCTTTCAGCTGGTCTAGAAAGATGAAAGCCTGTTTGTAATCGGTATTAAGCTTCAGTTTTCGTTATGTGGCTGAAAGATATCTTGTGACGATGGTCAATATTTTGTGGGCACAAATACTCAGTCACAGTCGAACTAATGGCAAACGGTCAGACCGCCTCTTCCTTTGAGTCGCGCGCACTTTCATCGCATCAGACACGGCTCTGCGACTCGCTCAGTTTGTAAGGTTCTGTGCCGGAGTCAGCGGCGGGGACAGGCCGGAGTCAGCGGCGGGGACAGGCCGGAGTCAGCGGCGGGGACAAGGCGGAGTCGGCGGCGGGGACAGGGCGGGGGACCGCTCTGCTCCCCAGCTGGGTCCGACCGGCTGCGGCTGTTAACCCGCGCGGGGCTGGGGTCTCCAGCCGAACGCGCGGGGCTGGGGGGGGGGGGGGTAAATTTTACCCCCCCCTGTTATCTCCCGAACTAATGGTCCGATTTGGAAAATTCAAACGCCAATCGAAAGCTCTCATCACGAACTACTAAAAACATGTACTTAATTTAAAGTTTGAGGTCAAGGTCAAGGTCAGGTCAAGGGTACAAATTGCAAGTTTCTACAGTATCGGCCTTGCACCGTAGTTGCCGAAGAATGGAGTCATGGACTGAGACTGATCGCCCAAAACGTGTTCTTAGGCTACCAAGACAATATTCGTTGCATATAATATCATTCAGAGGTCAAGGTCAAGGTCAGGTCAGGTCAGGTCAGGTCACCAAAAAACAAAATATAGAATAAGGGCATGTGCGACACATGTTTTATGGGTCATTTTACTCATAGAATTCAATAGGCACACTCAATAAGTGATATGGACCACCTCTGGATGAATTTCAGGTCGAGGTCAGGTCAAGGTCAGGTCAAGTGAGGTCAAATTTTGAAGTTGGTTGTTAAGGCCTAAAAAGGTGTCTATCTGATGCGGTTTTTCACGGCGAATCGAATGGTGCTATTTTTGTTTCCGTACGAGGTCTAGAACTTCCAAAAAAGTCATTTTTCAAAAAATTTGTGTGTCGTGACGTCATAAAATTTTGAATAACTCCCACATTTTTGAACCAATTCTTCTAAAATTTGGTATGTAGGTGCACATAGACCACTTCTCTGACATATATTCCGGTTTTTTCGATAGACTCAAAATTTTGGATTTTATAATGATTTTCCCAAAAAAGTCAGTTTTTTGGAAAAATTTAGGCCAAAATCCAAATTTTTCAAAAAACCGAGATAGCCATTTGATAGACAAAGTAAAATTACGTATAACCTTTTTTGTTACGTCTTGATTCCTTTAAAAATGAAGATGTTAGCGGCGTTTGAACTTTTGCCGTTTTTGAGGCGAAAATGGCGAACATGACGTCACTAAAACGTCAATTTCTCAAAAAATTTTCCGACGGATTGCGCTCACATTTTCAGGGAACGTGTCAAATTGATGTAAGAAAAGGTACTGAAAGTTTGGCGGCGCTGCGCGCTGCCGTTTTTGAGATATCGCAAAAATTCGCGAAGGGGGGTAAAATTTACCCCCCCCCCCCAGCCCCGCGCGGGTTAACATTGGCAGACGGTGACGGCTCGTTGGCACCAGCTGCGCTGCCCGACCGCCGCCCCTGATCAGCGCAGACCGGAGACGGAGACACGGCGCGGTCACAGGCAGTGAGGTCACCCGAGCGGCCGACAAACACACTAACACGCGCCGCAACTCATATCGGGCGCCCGTGTGTTTACATCGAACTGTTTGATTTTGATGAGACTCGAGTGGCTCGGAATCCGTGTGGCTTGTGTTGGTCGAGATAGGATAATACTAGGAAGTTTATTGCAGGAATGGCCTCCTTTAAACGCCTTATTATTTGATGATAAAATTGTTGCTAAATTCCTGAATAGTTAATCGGTAAAACTAAAACTACAAGCCTCTCCAGAGCACCATTGTGCCTGAGGACACGGCCAGCGCCTGAGACACGGAATCGGACGTACGCCCTGTGATTGACGACGTGTGCGCCGGTGCCACCTGTGCTCAGCGTGCACCCATCACTCCCCGGCAGACAGCGGCGGGTGTCAGTGGTCCGTTTTCTGTCTGTAGGTGTAGACCGCCCCTCGGGTCGGTGGCTGACGGGGCCCATCTCTCATCGTCAGCTACTCTGTGTGACCCAGATTTGTCGGCGAGGTGTTTGCTCAGGCGATCGGTGCTGTGTTGGGAAGCGCGTCTTTCGTCTTCTTTGTTTTAATCTGGAATATTCCGGTCAGAATTAAAAATTGCGTGCCCGTTTTCAGATATTTGGATTTGTAATGGTCTCGATCGCTGCCCTCGTTGGGCATGCCAACGTCAGTACTGTCTGGTAACTCTGTATTTAGACAGCGATACATGAATGTGTAGACTTCTTGTAAAGCCTCTGCTGAAAATGTGTTCCTCAGTTTATTCTAATTCGTTTTTTTTCTGATTTACTCTTGTTTAGATAAAGCAGACGCAGAGACGACGCACCATGTATCAGGTTCCTGAGTTGTCCTTTGTAAGCTGCCACCCGTATGGTGCCATCCGCCGCGGCACGCGCCTCGCTACGCCGAGCCGACACAGGACACTGTTGCCATTCCAAACACTCCGCGATCCGCCGAAATTCCGGGTTCGTTAGAGTTCCGGATCATGGGGCGTGTTACCGGACGTGTGACTCATTAGCCTAACAGTTCCGCACTTGTTCGCGAGGCTGAGCCGTTTTCACGAGCGCTGCTATACTAGTGCAGCTTTACGGACACATGGAACGAGTTTGCCTTTCGGGAGCTGCGTAGACTCCACTCTAACCAACGACGCAGAAACTCAGGGCAGCTTATTTGCGGAGGAAAGGGTCGCAGCCATAACTTTGCTTTGACAATTGTTTGTCTCAGACGTGCGCCGTTCCTCCGCTGCTTGTTAGAGCGCGGCTGGCGCTGACCATGGACCGTCAGCGGCGACGGTGGCGATGGAGCCACTGACGTCACCAGACCAGCCGGTGTTTGTTGAAAAAGCGGCGGCCAGAT